AGCAGCCACATCCTATCACTTCTGCTGTGTTCTAGTAATTAGAACAAGCCACTAGGTCTGTCCCACACCCCAGGGGAGGAGATTACACAAGAGCATGAATCCCAGGAGTTGAGAATCACTGGGGACCCCTCAGGAGGTGCCTACTACCCCCATGCCCAGAATCTCCAGGTGGGTAATTTTCGTGAATTATTTCTCCCACTCCTCCTTACCCATATTTCTAGACAACCCCCTCTTGGTCCTCTTTTCTTTTTTGCATCTGTAGCCTTCTACTTTCCTACCTCATTTCTTATGCAACAATTTCGCTACCTCCCTGTCTCACTTTAATAGTAGAGGCTAATGTCTATCACATGCTTAGTATGTGATAGCAGCTTTCCCAAGTACTTTATGTCTTTTAACTCATTGAATTCTCACAAACACTATGAGCTATATACTTGTATCAATCCCATTGTACAGATCAGGAAGCAAAGAGAGGGGAGCAACTTGTTCCCAACAGCATAAAAGAACATGCTCATGTTTTAAGAGCCTATAAAGGTGTTTTGCTGAATAAAGTCTGTTTGTCCCTCTAAAAGGAATTAATAATACTGTTAAATGATACATATTTATGTCACCAGTGTGTGTATGGGAAGGTAAGAGTTCCCTTTGCTTGGTTCCTTTATTTTCTCAAATTACCATTCTTAGGATTCTGACATAGAACTGTAAATGTCACCAGGAGGGGAGGCTTATCTCTTGCTGTAATGGTTTTCCTCCCATGTCACTTGACATGTGACAAGGTTGACACATGTTCACTGTAGAGATGGTTGACATTTACCCAAATCCCCTCAAGGTATCGAAGGATCAAGTATGAAAATTCATAAATTTTTTGCTTAGTTCTGACTTCTGGCTAGATCTTAGGGTGTAGAGGGGCCCTGATAGCACCATACTGTATCCTATGTTTAGAAACTTCTGGGCCTTGGGGATAGGTTGGGTGCCTTTCACCCACCTTCCGCCACTCCCTTCTCTCACACTGCTGGTGAAAGGCACCTGGGAGCTGACACATGATGCTGGGGTGCCCTGTGATTGGACCTCTCCATTCCCCTGTGGGTCCAGCATGCAGAAAGCCTGTTCAGGAAGCAGCCCCACTGGACCTCTTTCCCACTATGAATAGCCTCTTACCATGATGGTGTCTATGATATGTTTATACCACCCAATCCAATTTTTTTTATTTTTTTCCCAGAGACAAGGTCTTACTCTGTTGCATGGGCTGGAGTGCAGTGGTGTCATCATAGCTCACTGAAACCTCAAACTCCTGGGCTTAAGTAATCCTCCCACATTGGCCTCACAAAAATGAGCTTTTTCTTGACTCAAGGTTTTCCTCAACCCTAGTCCTGAATTCTCAGAGATCATAAGAACTATATATCTTATAAACTGTCATAAATGTTAGTCATTTATTCATTTGGATATCAAACATTTATATCTATTATGTGCCAGGCTCTATAACTTTTTTTTAAAAAATCCTATTTTTATATTAATACAATAAAGTTAAGTTTTGGTATGTATTTTGAATGTGCTAGTATCTAGAAATTTTACAAATCTCTGGATACTTTCTAAAAAGACTGATTAACTTTTCTCTAGAAATTAAATTACCACTTAACCAGATCTGTCTCTGTTTTGGGAGCTTCTATAGTTGGAACTCTCCTGGGGATAGTGACCACTTTTCCTTTTGTAGGTTCGACTTCAAAAATCTCATTTTATTAGTGTCATCTAGGAATGAGTTAGTTGAGATGTACAAAATTTTATTTTGTTTGTATATTGCTCTGACTTTTACCACTTAAGTAACGATCAGAAAATCAATTCCTAGAAAACTCTTGGCAGTAGACTTAAGAATTACACAAGTTATATTACTATATTATATGTATATTCAATAGTAATATAATCTGCTAGCTTTGCCTTGAGAATGAAATGGAAGTAAGGGAAAATGCATATAAATAATTTTCATGGCTTCAGAATTTTAAATAAATAAGAACAAGGTTTCTCATATTTGCTTCCTTGCAATGCTTTTATTATAATTTTATAAGAACACTTTTAAATAACAGAATTGATATTTCAGACCCTGTTAAGAAAAAAAACAAAAGCCTGCCTCCTTGATAGCCTGAGGTTTTGAAATTTCATAAAATGACATTAGGTACATAAAGCTTAATAACTGTCATGCTATGGTTTGAATGTGTTCCCTTCAAAATTTATGTGTTGGAAGCTTAATCCCCAATGCAACAGTATTAGGAGATGTGGCCTTTTGGAAGGTGTTTAGGTAATGCAGTCGTGAATGGATTAATGCCACTACGAAAAGAACTTGCAGGAGTGGGTTCTTTCTTTTCTATACTCCTGCTACGTGAGAACATGGGGCACCTCCCCTCAGGAGGATGCAGCATTCAAGACATCAACTTGGAAGCAGAGGACCTTGGCCCTAAGCTGCTTGGCATCTTGATCTTGGACTTCGCAGCCACTAGAACTGTGAGAACTAAATTTCTGCTCTTTATAAATCACCCAGTCTCAGGTATTCTCTCATAGCAGCACAAAATAGACTAATATGTATCATGAGCATTTTAAAGAGAAAGAGAAGTAGCATGATAAATATAGAATTTGAAGAGAGAAGACTCTGCTACTTGCTAGCTATGTCAGCTTGGATGCACTACTAGCTTACATTGGATAAGAAAGTAGTTTAATAGCTTGCACATTTGTCTCATGTAAAAAAATCACACACTGTTGAGGACTAGGTTACGATATTTGTGATGGAGCTTGAAAAATTACAACGTGCTCGTCATATTTGGGGTGTCATTGGTGTATAATTTAGATTCAGGGACATTCAGAAACCTTCTACTTTGGATCCATTCCTTGTGAAGCAATGCTCCAGCTGGATGAATTTTAGCAGAGGTCTTGTAATTCTAGGACCTCAGGGGATGGGGTGGGTCTGGAAGCCTGGAAGGCTCCCAGAAGATGCATCCCTTTCAAAGGATACCCAAGGAAATGGCTCATTCCTGTGATTTTCTGAAATTTCTAGCCTCAACCTTTTAGTTTTCATTTTTTTTTTCTCCTTATTTTCTTCTGTCCCTTGAATGGAATGCAACCACTTAGACTGAAAACAAGGACTTAGAAAAGGAAGAAACAATGTCTATGTACTCATTGGACCTCTGAATTTGGGGTGAAATAAATAAGACTAGAAGAGTCTTGCTTTGTTAATTCATAGACTTGTAAAAATCCTCCAATTTTGGGAGGGGGTGGTAATCCATAAACTTAATAGAACCCAATGCTCCACTAGAGTTTAAGAAATTAAAAAATTCTGGACACTTCAATTGATTCTGTGTCTTGGCTATTGTGAATAGTACTGCAATAAACATGAGAGTGCAAATACTCTTCAACATACTAATTTCATTTCTTTGGATAAATACCCACAGTATTAAGATTGCTGGATCATATGGAAGTTCTATTTATAGATGCTGTTTCTACAAAAAATTATAAAAACTAAAAAAAAAAACTTTAAATAAATTAAATTTGAACACTAAATGAAAAAGAAGAAAAAGAAAAATGAAAGAAAAGAAGTTCTGCTCCAGAACACAGCTACATTTATTTTAAATTAATTATTGTAAAAGCTTTAACTCTTGACTCCTTAGATAGTTAAAAATCCTACTGATATTTGATTCACTTGTTTGTATAAATCAAACTGAGAATAGCCTTCTCAATCATATTTAATGTGCTAAAGAGAACACTGATTATAATCATCACTAGATAGCTAAAGTCACTTGCAAGTACCTACCTTCCTTGCATTAAATCCCTGAACTTTCCATTTTTTTCCCCAAGATTTTCTTATGAAGTATAAATGGCAATGTATGTTGAATGAAACAGCTGTATTTTAACTTCATACTTTCAGTCCCACTCTGGTGATTAGCAGGTTGATGCATCCGTCCTGCTCAATTGATATCTTACACTGAACACAATGAAAGAGTTTCAATTCTAGACTCTAGAATGTAGCCATCTAATTCAAAGCGACCTGCTTCCTCTCAGGAATTGTGTACTTGCCCACATTATTTAGGCTCTCTGTGCCTCTGTTGCCCTTTTTAAAAATGGAGAGAAGGTTGGGAGGATAAAATGGAACAGGGTATGTGAAGAGTTGAATCCAGTTCCTGGCCCAAGGTAAGCACTTAATAAATAGCAGCTATTATTATTCTCATCTGAAGAAAAGGAACTCATTTCCACCTGGTTTACAGATAAGAGTATTCAGAACTTTCTACTAGACACAGAGTTCTAAGCAAATGAGCAAGTTTCCATTTCACAAACTGACATAGAGGTTTGGGGCATATGTGATATAAACTCTATTCCATTGGATGCATAAAGGGTCAGCTAAGTCCCAGCATGGCACCAGCAAGAAAGAGCCCAGTGTATTTTATTAAAACGTAATGAGATAATTTCCTGAATCAGCCTCATATCATTCCTATCATCTGAGAGAATTCTACCAGTTTTCTTCCTTCTTGACCGTTGCCCTATGAAGAATAGAAAGTTCCAACAGAAGTTGGGTTTCTGACAATGAGTGGTTACTCATTGTTATTTCTCCTCTATTTGCTCATATGTTCATTCTTGCATCAAACAATTTCAGCACATGTTGTGGGCATTGCCAAGGACCTGACTACTCTGGGGTTGGGGAAGGAAGGACAGCTGTGGAAGGGATGGCATTTATAAAGACATCCAGAGATCTAATAGAGACTCCTACTGGTAGAGAAACTCCTACTAAAGTTCATATGAATGTCCCTAGAAATGACCAAAGACTCATACATGGAACTCATACATGGAATGACAAAGACTCTCATGGAACTGTGTGATAAGATAATAAAATAAAGCCAGTTTCACTAGATCCAGCAAATGTATGGTTTTCCACTAGTTCATCAATGTGCAGGTAGTTAGATGGAATATGGGCCTTCTAGACGTAGATCTGAAGTTCTGAACCACCGTTTTCCCTGTCATCTTTCTTATAGGTGTATGATGGTTTCAGCTCCACAACCACCCGCCTCGCCAGGACATGTGGAAGACAGCAGCTGGCTAACCCCATCACCTCTTCAGGAAACAGCCTCTTTGTGAGATTTCAGTCTGGCCCTTCCAGACAGAGCAGGGGCTTCCGAGCTCAATTCAGGCAAGGCAAGTGCCTGTGGGTCTCCCTGAGCACAGGGAAATGTTCTTCAGTGCCCTCCTTGGTGCCACAATAAAATGAGACCAGTGCTCAGAAATTCATCACAGTTTTCTATTTTACATGCAAAAATTTAAATAGAATGAGGAACTAGGACTTGCAATTATTCCAACTGTTGATATTTGTAAACTCATCTTTGTCTAGCTTAGATGACGCTGACGTCCTTTGGATCTACGTCTCTCAACAAGTTTTCAGAATAAGTGCCTTTAATACTAGAGACAATATAAGAAAGTTTTTATCCAAATTCATTTATCTAGCATTTATCCAGAGCTTTACACTAGAAGGAGATACACCACTAGAAATTACAAGACATGCTTCTCGTGAAGTCAGATCTGAACCCCCGAAAGCAGTAGTTTCCCTCATTTCTGAATCCTGTCATTGTCCAGCTGAGGAGTCACTATTGTTTTGCATTGTTTTTATTCTTAAATCACCACTCCTCCAAGACCTTTCCAACCATTGCCTCTCACCTGGTCATTCTCAGAGATTAACCCTTTATCCCATTGTCAGAGCTAGAAGGAACCCA